GATTTAAGATTTAAAGGCCAAATTCGTGCCAATTTGCGAGTCAGTGAACGCCCATCATTTAGATAGAACAATGGGCTGTTTATCAGCCACCAAAATTCTTTTAATTTGTTTCCAAACTTTTGTTCTGTTTTACTTGTATTGTTAATCTCGTTATAGACGTTAGAGCTCAGTATTTGACACGCGATTCTTTGATCATGTATTCCGCGGCTTTTCATTAGATTGATAGAACTTCGTTGTAATGTTGTTTCAGTTTACGATCGATCGTTCGATAGATTGATTGACTGTGAGAATAATCGTTATTTTCGTCATTGATTGTGGTTCGTGGTCGGTTGCCTTTCAAGAATAAAGATTCGTGCAAACAGTCAACTTTGGTTTGTCACTTCGATCAGTAAAAAAGTCCCAAGCACCTCGTTAACCGCGTTTTGGAGCGACACGCCCTTGAACTTGAGAATTTAGATTTTGGTCGCCGTAAACGTTACAACTACTCTCGTGGTTTTAGTGTGCTACAAACACAGTTGGCTTTCTTTTCCGGCTCTCGAAATAAAAAAGTCAATCTTGATCCACATTAGAGCGAAATATTTTTGCCATATGAAACATCCTTTATTTACCACGCTTGTTCGATAAAGATGACTGGATATCAGCCTCGTTCCCTTTTTTTTTTTTTACCTCTTGCTTGGTCAATAATGCATATTTTTGTTCTTTTTTTTTTATTGGTTGAACTATTCTGTCAATTTGTCCCACTCATTTGGTGTATTAGGAGTTAAGAACCGTGATGAATTCAATTAATTGTTTATCAGTCCTATAGTTGTACAGTGATTTGCAGCCCCGGGTGAGTTTGAAAACCAAACACTTTTTGAATCTTCAATCGTGTATCGAATGAAAATTGGCCAGCATCAAAAGTTTAGGAGGTGATTCACAAAATATTTCCATAGGTCAAGTCCACTGGGGAGGTCCACGGAGCCCTGTACCTGTTTTTGTCTACTGTACGTCCTCAAGTTTCTGCACTCAATTTTCAATGATCAACTTTCGACATTAAGTTTAACTCTTAAAATTTAAAACGAGCCACCTCTCTTTTCCAGCGTAGTCACTCGCGTGATTTCGAGGAAATCCCCGACGTCGCCGAATTGATATTTTTCCCTAAGCGTTTGACTCGGGCTACACCCTCAGCTGGGAAAAAGTGACTACCTGTACAATCACAGTTAATTGAATCGGTAAAAAAAAAGCATGAGAAATCACTGCGTCGTCTACCGTAAACACTCAAATCAATGTTGCAACTGTGATTCGGTGCACTAAAGCCAGAGACAAATGGATTCGACATGAGCAATTCTCCGAGGAAAAGGTATTTAGCTAATGAATGTTCTGTTTGCGTTGTGAATAAAACAAACGGCAAGTTGGAAAAATTCGGCAAGCATCAAGTGATTCAAAAGACTTACAGCTTTAGGGACACAGTTTCAAAGTTTCACGCCATTCTTATAAACATTGTGATACTAACCGTGCTGAAAATAAAGAAAACTACAAAAGAGAACCTTAGTTATCATCAGTTCCCCACAGGATACCTTACTGAGGAATGCAAACTTAGCTCTACAAAAGATCTTTCTTTACCTTGATTTTCCGAGATAGATAAATCTGTACTGGCACTTTTAATTTCTTGCTCTTCGATGTACACAGAGACTATGACTTCCTCGCCATTCGCCATCTGTTTGATTTCATCTGTGACTAAGAAATGCTGTAGATTCCGTTGCAATGTGCCATCTTGATACCAACTCCACAATGCCTTGACCGCTGACTTATTTTTTAACTGCACCTTGAAACATACAGAGCCTTCACTGATTGTTTGTAAGACTGAAGCTGTAGGAAGCACTGCCACCCTGAATGCCTCGACAAAGTCTTCCAGTTTGGAACATTTGCGAAGGACCACCCCAGTGCCTACAACTAATAAGGCACCGCTGATTTTCCGGAACGTACAGTGTATTCTAACTTCTGGAAAGAAAAAAAGATAACCCTTGTTCAACTCAAGATCGTGGCCAAAAATACTTGGGGCATACTCTGGAGACAAACCTACCAAAAGGAATGACAAATGATGTTGTTGCATTTTTTAACTGAACAATAACGTCTCCAGCTGATTATATGGCCCACTGAAAAAAGGAAAAAAAAAAAAAAAAAAACACGGACTGGCTTTACCAGGCTTAGCAATTATACGGCCCACCATGACTATTAATGTTCACAAACTGATCTTTTCAGATCTTCCAATTAATCAGGGTCTATCGCCCCCTGTAAGAACTCATACCGCCGTCTGTTTAGCCCGCCTGGGTTTCAATAACTTAACTCACCTCCTAACAACCTTTCAGTAACAGCTTTAACTGATGCCACAACTGCAGAGGCTCGAGCTGAAATGAAATAGTAAAACTTTCTTTACTTAGAAGCCACGTTTATGTATTGTTATGTACTCCGGCCAAAGACTTTCTCTACATGTCTTTTAGGTAATGAAATTTAAGAGCAGAGAAGAATATCCTGATTATCTATTTAGCCAGTTACAATGACGTTCAGCAGGAAACGCGTAACTGAAGAAGGAAATATGAATTCTTCCGAAGACAGTGCTGAAAATTGATATCTGAATCTTAATAGTGAAAGGATTAAAGGGACCACTGACTTTTCACTTAAGCTAAAACATACAGAATAACCTTTTAAGGGTTGTATCTCTCATGGTTATTTGGAAAATTGAAATTTTGACTACTTTTCAGAAATTAATCCTTCTACATTGAGCAGAACCTTCATGTGAAAGAGAGATGATTCTAATTCCTTAGTTAAAAATAATGATCCCAAAGATGCAGCCACACTATACTTTTGAACTCACTCTGCCATGTTTTCTTTTATCCCCTATCATTAAAAGACAGCTGTACCCAATGAAGCAGTTTGATTAAAAAATTTGATATAGACGCAATTATTCAGATTACACATTCAAACCACTATGCATGAGGCATTTCAATGGCTTGAGTTAAAAAAAAAAAAAACAGCAGGAGAACAAAAATTAACATGCACAAGTGAAAACGACGTAGTACAATCCAATCGGCCATAGAATTCTGCTCCCCTACGCATTTAGTTTGCAGCAGAGAAATTAAATTATGACTACAGACAAAAGCTTCGCTATGGAAATAATATGGCCTGCAAAATAAACTGTAAATATCATAAAAAATATTTTCCCTTTTTTCGAGATGACATGATAATCGTATATTATCACTAGATACAGGTGTAGATTGGCTCAGAACCACAATGAGTGAGGCAAGGTTAATTGACCTTGATGACATTTTTTCTAAAGGAGATCGTGATACTTGATGCACTGGAAGACCGTGAAAAAAAATAGACAGTCAAACACTACATGCTGGTACTGGTATAGAAGAATTTGTAGTGTTGCAGAATATTTGTCTCACATACAAAACAGAAAACGTTCCGCATCTTACATATCAGTATGAGTATCCTGTTCCACAAGGGAAAGCCTCAGAAGCCTCATGGTTCCACTATCTGGTTCTATGGGCTCCAACAGTGATTACCTGAGCTTCTTTTAATTTCGCCTATTGATTGTAAATAATTTTTTTTTTGGTTATTTTATTTTATTGCAGTTCCAATTTATGAGACTTTTGTTTCATACGTCAGATCATTCCACGTTTTAGGATATTCCGTCATTCCGCGTCTTAAGATATTCTGCCGTTCCGCCGATCCACCTTTCATGCGTTCCATCGTTTAGTTGACTAATTCAAGGTAAGATTGTACTTCGCAGCTTGCTCTCTTCACAATTTCTGACATTTCGGCATAAGTCGCTGATTCAAACAGTAAAATGCTCTCTTTTCAAAGAAAAATTTTTCCCAAAGCCTCCATTTGTCGAGATCACATCTACTCTGATATGTCTACACAGAAAAGTTTTGATTTTAAGAGAACTGAGAAAATTATATCTTCTGATTCGCTGATTCAAACGGTCAAATGCTCTCTATTCGAAGAAAACATGTTTCCTCAAGATATGCTGATAAAACCTTTTGAGTTATTTCTGCAAGGAAAAGCTTTGTTTTTCACGCGTCATCCTGAACTTATTGTGAGATGTTTATCATTTTCTGTTGTTCCGCGACTCAAACAATAAGTAGCACCAGGAAACAGCGGGTCAAGATCAGGATTCTATTGTTACGCTCACACACTCACTTACTCTCACTCATCTCGACAACATATGTCACTTCGCTTCCTGTAGGAAGTAGTAACCACAAAAATTACAAGGGAGAGGGAGCAATCACACCTTGCCTTTTGCAACATACGTCGCTTCACTTCCTGTAGCAGGTAGTAATCACAAAAATTACAAGGGAGAGGGAGCAATCACACCTTGCCTTTTGCCAATGATATTAGTGTTTGGTCATATTTGTAAAAAGCCTTAATACAGCATGCGGCATGCGATGAAAAGAAGGGGAAACCGAACTTATGACCAACAACAGCAAGATAAGGCAAGGAAACTGTCAGCAACTTCAAATACCAAGGTGCAGATACACATATCTCTCACAAGGGAACAAAGCTAAAACATACACTCTAGAATTGCAAACTCAAAACCTACACTCCTGAGCATGTCACTGGTGAAGAAGTGACGAACCAAATATATATTTGCAGACCATTAGGCCACATGGAGAGTTGCCATGGCTGCTAATTTGGATAGAAACTACATGAAATAGTATGGGCACATCTCAAGATCATGAGGACCTACCACAAAATACCTTCAATTAAGGCCAATGTATAAGAAGTGAGAAAGATTTAACGCAGACGGAAAAAAACAGTGAGGTTGAATAACACTGACATATGGACTGGTTTGATCAGGATTAGCAATTCCCTACAATTTTTGGAAGAACACAAAGAAACAGACTAAATTGCTCCGCGACTGAACTATGGCATCCATGGGGTCACCCAGATCACAGGAAAAGTAAGTGAACGGAGGATACGAAGCCAAGGGGTGTAAACCTTACTACCCGATACAAATCACATAAACCATCCTGTAATTACAGCTGTGCAATGGAAATAAGTTATTTTGTTATCATGCCAAACACTTTCTCAACTTTATAAATTTATCTTTTAAGGTATACATGTATAACTGATCACACAATGGGTTCAAGCAGTAGAGAATAGTGTTCACACAGCCTTATCTAAACACAAATAGAGTTGGGTGATTTCAAGTGTTAATAAAATGTAAACCTGAAATGCTGAGTTCAGTTAACTCATAAAAACCAATACAAATTCACATTGCAAAAGTCAAAGTCAAGTTGTAATTTGTAGCAAGCACCAGCACAATGTGAATGAAACCAATGAGAACATACATACTATCTCAATTATTTCATATAGGAAAACAGTTGGTTCAGAAAAATGCACAATACTGTACAGTGTACCAGTGCAGGGCTTTCAGTTCACCAAAACAAAGGAGTGAATCTGATAAAGGGCAATTAACAACAGACCTCCATCTACAAGCTACAGGTGTGGTATGACTCCTATGCTTGCTCAATTTCTATAGAAAGCTTTCTTAGAGCTAGTGTACATAGAAACCTGTGAGAGAAACTTGGCAGTAAAAATCCAGAATCTTTCATTCAAACAATGTTGGTGATTCAGACATGGACAATTCCTTTAACAGTTCAGCCAGTTTTTTTTTTTTTTTTTTTGCAGCTTAAAACACTGCCCTTGCATGATTATTTTTCCAAGTGATTCACCCATATTGTTTCTGCATAATTAACACACTATCTTGCATTTTTTCATGAAGAAACAAAGGATTGACTTTCTGCTACCTGTTCTCTATTTTGTTTTCTTCTACTTTCTCAAATTACTTGTCAATCAATTTAATCTCACCTTCAGATAGATAGTTTATTTGTAAAAAGCTTGCAGCCATTGAGCTGAATTGTGTATTTACAATAATGTATAAAATATAACTTATAATAGTAATAGGATAGTATTAAAGTCCTAAATAAATAACAATATCCTATAGATTTGATGAAAGCTTGAACTGTTAAAATATATTCAACGGCATCGATCTCATTTACAAAACTCACCGAGCACTAAAATTCGTTGTTAATACATGATCTTACAAAAAACTAATTTTGAAACGCTCAGTCCTACATTTGGGAATCACAAAGCGCCTTTTGCACCGGAGATTATAACACAATGGCCCTGACGATTGAAGCATTTTATGTAAGCAATGGGCCGGGTCATTAGCAATGGAGAGGAAGGTCTTTTTACATAAGCTAGCGATGTAGTCATTGATAGACATAATATCTGAGAGCTCTAAGGCCTCTCTATAGGCCAGGCCCGGGCAAATGATTGACAATGCCCTCAATTCTTGTACTCAATTTCAACTTTTTGTACTCCCGCGCCTACATGCAGTTTCAACTTTCTACACTGTTTGGGATTAGCTGATGTGTTAATTCTCAGCAAACAAGCATGATGAATTTTTTTATGAATATTATTACTTGTACATTTATACAAACAGAATTGATAGCATTGCATGCCTCAAAGGCAACATTAGCTTGCACATCATCAAATTTTTGGAGGCTAGAAATATCCTAACTTAGGTACAAATCTCCATGGAGACAAGTCTGTAATGGCTACAATTGTTGTATCTCTGGTTTTCCTGCAAATAGCTACATTGATAAAAGAAGCCTTTATTGCATAGGACAATTAGTGGTGTCTTTAGTAGATGATTGAGACATAAATGAAAAATCTGTTCAGTACGCTTAGGGTGATAATAAGGAGGCAATGCCATGTTGATCTCAATGTACAAAGTTTGCTTAACTTTGAATTTCATGGAAATGATCAAAAACCACAATTTTAAGGAAATGGCTGCCACATTCATCTCACAAAATGAACAAAAACAAGAAAATTAAATAAAAAATGGGCAGTGTGAGACTACATGTGGCTACTGATATAGCAGAATTTTTGTCGCATTGAACAGAAATGAAGTCGTATAATGATGCTAGAAGGTGTTGTAGAAGATTTGCCTCACATGTAAAACAGAAAACCTGCTACATCCTACATATTTATGAGTACTCTGCTCCACAAGAGAGAGATGATTTAAGGAAAAAGTGTCTAATTGACAGTCAACCAATAATTAAATAAAAATAATATCAACAACAATAATGATAACAAGAGCATTATAATATTAATTTAAAGGGGCTAGCTCACAAGGATAATGGTTATTTATTTCTTTATTTAACAATTTGCCAAAGGCAGGTAAATTTACAAAAGAACCAGGTTGTCCCCTACTAGGTATTAATTACCTTACCCTATCCCCTAAAAGCATACAAAATTGAAACCAAACCCACTTACAAGCCCCCATGCATGCTAGAAAAGAAAAACAAATTGGTTAACATGTACATTCAAGAATTAAGAGCATTGAAACGACGACATTTTACACAAACTAATTTAGAGGAACAGAACTTTGCTAAGTGACAAAGAAAGATTTTAGTTTTTTGATGAAAGATGGTAGGTCCTTTTCTGTTCTCATGATATCTGGTTAGGCATTCCATGTCACAGATTCTTACAAAAAAGGAATCTCTATGGAGTGAAGTTTTAGCTTTTCTATTTTTAATGCACCAGAACTTTTCAAGTTTTCTTATTAATTATTGAAATTGTAATTTCATGCTAGTGTGTGTGTGTCTTCCAAATTCAAGCTATGTGGAGACATGACATGAATAGGTGAAGTACTTGACATCATCATATAAATGGTCAACTTGACATGCTATCAAAATTTGTCCTTCATCTGAAATCCTACTCAGGAATGCAAGTGTTTATCAACATACTTAAAAATCTTCAAGCTTTTGTTTATTTTGGTCAACTACTGTGTGTATTAATCAGCACAACCTGCTTTGTGTATATCAGATTGGTTTCTAGTGTGATCTATTGTTCCTGAGCCTAGTTTACATTTGTGCTTGCTGAGTTATTATACTTTTGCATTAGTGATACATGAAAAAGGCACCTAGCTGTTTTTGGCCAATCAAGAGTGTAATTTTTCATATATCAGTATTGTGATGAATTAACCAAAACCAAACAAGTAACTGAAAAGAGTTGTAGTCTACCAAATAGAGGCGTAATACACATGTTTGGTACCAAGTTTAAATATCAATGCTTATCTGAACCATTATGAAGAGAATTTAGAAGACTGCCAGGCTTAAAGGAAGTCATGAAATGTTAAAGTCTGAATAATTCTGGGCATTACTTGGAAAACATAATTATTATCTAAACACATTTCAGTTGTAACATTAAACTACTAGGCTCCAATTCGTACTTTAATAAAAGTGAAATTACTTGCATGGAAAACATAATTATACTAATCACATTTCAGTTGTAACATTAAACTACTAGGCTCCAATCTGTACTTTAATAAAAGTGAAACCACTTAATTACTGAGTTTCAATGTATTTCTTCCTCAAAGTTTGGAATAAATCATAATAGACACCTAGCACCAAGGTTTTCATGTTGACAACAAACCACAGTATAAGGGAATTCTCTGTCCACTAGAGTTGAGTGCCTATCATGTGGTCTAGTGTTGTACATCGCACTAGTTTGAGTCAGCCATCTTGGTTTTAAGCATGGTTTTGAGTAATTTTTTATCTAGTTATTCATAAATCTTTGTTGCTTATAGATTTCACATCCTGGCTTTCCTACACTCAGCTTGTCTTCTAACTGCAGATTACAGTGAGGAGTCTTTTATTTACCAACATTGAAACAAGTTGATGGACAATACAAAATGTGGAATGAAGCGGTGTTTTGGTTTACCAAAATTATTTATGTACCGCTAGAATTTACTTGACTAAGCGACTGGTACAGTCACGTTTCATGTAAGTAATTTACCAAAACATTTTTTTCCCCTGAAATTCTGTTCATGCCAAATGCTGAGTAAGAAAATTGCTTAACAAGTCTTTTAAGTACATGCTTAAATACAATTTTAAGCCAAAGAATATTAATGAAAATAGGACTTTTAATTTTGTTGCCATTTGAAAATCAAACACTGCTGTTGTCTGGAAATTCAATATGATGATCTCTTCAAATGAAATTATTCAATTCTAATTCCAATTCCAATTCTTTATTTCACAGTATAGTGACATTTACAGGGTTTATATTAAAGACGAGAGAATGAGGGAAAAAATAAAGGTATTATTTGGCCATAAAAATAAGATTGCAATGTGTACAGTCTCCAAGGTAGTAAGAGCTTTCTAGTTGGATGCCATAATGGTCATATAAACTGATTCGCAAACGTCAAACGTCAAACGACTAATGTTAAATAAATACATAAATCAGATCATGCCATAATGTGGCTACACACTTGTGTAAGCCACTCAAAAATTAAACTCTAGGTTTTTTAAGGCACAAAATAATTTGTTCTCTTCTTGTTGTTGCTCTCAGGATTTGCATCTTCTTTCTTAAGTGTATGACGCACCCTATAATCTCTAGTGCAAATGTTGACTCAAAGACACTCAGCAAAAATTAAGATAATTTAGGTTAAGTGACATTAAATCAAATTCGGGTAAAGTTTGGCATTCTATTGTTATCATCACTCACTCATTTTGATGACATACATGGCTTCAACTCTTAGTATAGGAGGCAGTAGCCACAAAAATATAGAGCCAACTCTACAAATTAATGCCTATTCTTAAAAATTTGTTAAGTGTCTTGTAAAAAAACCACTCACATCAAACTCAAAATGCATGCATGCCTAGCTTAATGACTGCTTATCTTGAGAAATGTTGTTGGTTGTGAGATAAAGAACTTGGAAATTAGGTTTAGGATTTGAAACTGACTTTTGAATGAATTCTGCATGCAATATTCTACCTACAACAGGTAGCATCACTCAGGAAACTAGTGCCAAAGTTGGGACAAGGGGTACCCACATCACTTCTATGGATTCATACATGTTTTACAGCTTTGTTGTGCTTCTTGATGCTCTCAGGATCTACATCTTGCATTACTTTTTTTCAATCATTACTTAATTTGGAGAAGTGGTAACTGATGTTATTATTTAACCATCCCTAGTTCAGGTTAAAGTATTTGACAGAGACCTCATCATTCTGTAGGGCCCAAGCAAATTACATTAAGCATAATGTCTGTGTTTCAGCTGGAACATGAATAGTGACTACATAATTATGCATGATGTTTATAATGATTTGTAAATATATATTACAGACCCCTACATAGGCCATCAAAGTTGACCTTTATTTTACCTCAGTGCAAACAAGACACAAAGTACATTATGAACAGGTCACCATTCAGACTGGTTTACGGTCAAGTCGTCCGAGAATAATCTCACCCAAAGTCATGTCAACCAAGACCTGAGTCATATTGCCCGAAATTTGAGTCATGTCGCCCGAAAAAAAAAGTTAAGTTGCCCAAAGAAACATACTCATTCGTTTCACACTCACGGACATTTCGTAAGCTTGAGGAACTTAATCTTGGCTGTTTCTAACAGCAACATCCATCATATAATCAGAATTGAAATGTGTTTGAGTAACGAGTATAAAAGCATTTTCATATCTAACAGCAAAGGAAGGCGTTGCTCGTAGCTAACAACAATGGAAGGCATTATTCATTTCTAAACTAACAATGCACTTGGATTCCTTACTCAAACAAATTTTTTTAATTCTGACCATACAATTGATTTCCGTGTAGACAAAGTCTTCATGGTATTGTGAGAGACCAAGATAGAGTTTCTCAAATGTACAAAACATCCGTGAGTATGAAACGTGTATATACCAAATGAACAACACTTCCCTTTGTTGTAGAAATGAACAACGCTTCCCTGTGTCAGTGAAAACAAATAATGCTTTTCAAATAGTCACTCAAACATAATTCAATTCTGATTATACAAGCTAGGGCTTTAACAATAAACATTTCTAAACTTTATTGCCTATTATATTTACAGTCTGTAGGTTGGATCATTTAAGTATTTGTTTCTTCAGGCGACTTGACTTTTTTTTTCGGGCGACATGACTAAAATTTCAGGCAACGTGACTTTAGTTTCGGGTGACAAGACTTCGGGCGAGATGATTATTAGGCGACTAATGACCGGTTACCTTTAGACTTAGACATAGCAACATAACAAGAAAATCTTAACTTTTAAAGAAATGAAAGGATCATCTGCTGGCACAAAATTTAAAAGCAGGATCACATCACGTGGCGTAAGCTTATTTTGAACGATTCAATTTTTTTTCCGAGAAAGCGAAGCACGATACAACTTTTTGATATCATTTAAGAAAAGATTCAACAAAAGGGTCCTTTAGGAAAAATAAAACGAATTACGAAATTTTGCAACTGTCGGTGGATTCTCGATTTTTTATGGTCAGTGGCCCTTAAGTTCGACATAAAAACGGCAGAAGCACGGCGTCCGAATCAAACTTTTAATTAAGTTCCAAAAGCAATAAAACTTGACGAGCTCTGCCGTGTTACACCGGGCGACAGCGGTGCAAACAGCGGTGCAAACGTAATGCCTCCGCCGAGCCAAACAAAATTCTTAAATCATAAAGCGGGGGTTGTGTTCTCGCGGGAAGTTTCGAGGATGAATTGTTACTTTGCTCCAGTAATTAGCTTGAACAGAGTCGTATTTCTACCATTCTAAAGCCGAACCAAATTGCAATTAAGTTCGGCATGACAGAAGCACGACGTCTGAACTGGGTCTAAGAAAGGGAAAAAACATTTTAACGTACCTATTCTACTTTCCGATTCCTCCTCCTCATTCCTTCGCTTCTCATACTCATTGACTTTCAAAAGCAGATTTTTTTTCTCTGTTTTGGTCAAAATCTCCTTTAGGATATCGAGTTGATCAACACCCAAGTGGTCGTGGTTTTCCAGTTCCTCCAGTAGTCGTCGAGTATTTTTAATGTTACCTTCATTTTCTTCTGGCAATTTCCCTCTGCACAACGACATGAGGCCTTCCATATCATTGAGTTCGTCGAGTACGCGAATTATCTCCTCGAGTAAACCATTGTATTCTTTCCTTTTGCGTTCTAAATTCTTCACTTTTCCAAAGAGCGACCATTCCCTGACACTCTTTAATATCTCCTTCAGTATCTTCAGGCGATCAATTCCTAGGTATTCCTTGTCCTCCAGTTCCCTAAACAATGACAAAACGTCTGGGATGTTTCCATCGCTGCCAGAGGTCAGCTTCCCTCTGCACATAAACAGAAGACGCTCACGAACATTCAGCTCCTCGAGCCTCTGGCTTGCCTCGAAGAGTAGATTGTTGTATTCAATCGCTGACATTTCGATGGTGTAGGCCTGATCCAAATAGGAAAATTTCGTATTCAATATGGCGGAAAGGGTTCGAGGCTTGAAAAGAAAAAAAAAAAAAACAGTTACCGCAGCGGGTGGGAGTGACGACCCATTTCACGTCATTCCATCCTCGCCCACCCAGTGACAATCCCGTTACAGACCTCACACCTATGGTGGCCTAGGAATGCCATAAGAAAATTGTGTAGTACCTTGTTAGTTTCCCGTTATTTATTATGTTATTTCATTTTACTTTTAAA